ATAGTTGTCTTTTTCACTCATCATCTATTTTTGATCACGATAGGAGGGGGGACAAAATTGTCAAATAGGTGTGAACCTGTGAATGAGTTTCATTTTTGCACAAACACACACCCCCTGTGTGTCTGCAGTGTCCCGGTGGAGCCTTCACACCTGACATACACACAACAAAAGAGTTCCCAGACGATGTGGTGAACTTTGTGCGGAACCATCCCGTCATGTTCAACCCCATCCACCCCGTGGGAAGGAGACCCCTTGTGGTCCGTACCAACGCTGACTACAGATACACGTCAGTGGCCGTGGACCAGGTCATGGCGGCCGACGGCAACTACCAAGTGCTCTTCCTGGGCACAGGTATGAATGCACACATCCTGCCATGAAAAAATGCAGGGGTATCTTTTGCATTACAGAAATTATTGTGCTCTTGACTGATTTAGCGTTAGAAGACTTAGTTAATTAATTTCCTTTTTTATTTTTGTCTAGGTAAAAACCTCATTTTAAAAACGAGACAGAAAATCCAAAAATCTTGGTTTCAGGATGCCTTTATGATACATTTCCCCTTTAACTTGGCAGATTGCTTTACTAGCGACACCATTTGTGTTGTTCTTAACAACAGAAAACGTGTTAAGTGCAAAAACCTCCACAAACTAAGCAGACGGCTCATCAAATATTGCCAAAAGGTGTCAACATTTTCAAATCCATCCGGATATGTGATGCGACACCCACGCAGACGTGTTAACAGGCAGATGAGTTAGAAGTAAAAAAAAAAAAAGACTTATTCCATACTTTTCTGGGCTGGTCACACCGGTGTTTCATGAGTAAATAATTGCCAAGTTGAGTTCTATTGCTACAGCTGGTTATCAGATAAACAGATAAGGGATGTTACAGCTGACAATGGGTGGTGCAGCTAGACTTTAAGCACAGGAACGTTATCTTGGCACAACGCGTTTGGGTCATTTAGTCCTATCCCTGCTGAGATCGACACATTGGGTTCATATCAGCAACATAAACCTCTCATTCAAATGTGTAGGCAATATCTCACAAAACATGATGATCATTATGATCCTTGTTACTTCAAGGAAACTGTTAAGGTTTCTGCCCTTTCAATTATATGAAGCATGGATGAAAAACAACTGACTGTGGCTACTTGTTGGTATTACCATAAAAAAATTAATTAATTTAAAAAAGAACTGTACTCGCCAAAGCTACAAATATACCTTAACTGACACAAAAAACAACATATTAATAAAAACCATCTCACAGGCAAAATCATTTGGAAGGAGGAACTAAACAGATTAGCTACATTAACAAAAACAGCTTGTCAAAATGAATGTATAGGCAAACTGCAGCCTTAAACACTTAAACATGTAATTTAGACTTTACATTTTATTTTTGTCAGTGGACAATCAGAGGTTCTGGGACCTTTTACCGGTCACCAGCAGAATTACCCGTTTAAACACAGCAATGCTGATTACAGAATGAACTGAAGGGGCATTTAAACACTGTTCTATTGTGTACTCCCCCAGTACCTGTCTGTTTCTACACTCATAAGAAAGAGGTGTGTGTATCTGTGTGCAGTATTAGCCGTGCAAACGTGCTCATGCATATCCTTGTGGGCCGTTTTGCGTCGAGCAAACTGCGCTGGGACTCTCCCATGCAGCTGCTAGTGTTTATCGAGCAGCCTCTCCTGTCTGCTCCTCCAGCTTGGATTCTTGAAGGCAAGCCAGCGCTGCCTCACCGTATCTGCTCCTGAAACGGGGCTTTGTCTCAAGGATGAGGGAGACGCTCTTATCGGGCTTTTGCAGGAGCTGTCACTGTAACCTCTCCTCCACCTCCTGGGACAAAACAGCCGTGTTGATGACGGCGATGTTGCATCTTGCCCTTTTTCTGTGCCTTAACTTCCCTGGTATGAGTTTAAAACATTCCATTCCCACTCCTGCCAATGCTTGTTTTGCTGTTTAAACCAGGCTCGACTGTCCTGCTTAATTCAGCAGCAAACTCAGGCAAGGTACAACAAAGTTAGGGTTTATTTTCCTTCTTTAACCAACAGTTGTTCATGAGTTGACTGGCTCCTCATCGTTTAGCGATATCTGTTTCTAAATGCATGTCTGCTATGTCTTCCCTTTTTTCCCATAGACAAAGGTACGGTGCAGAAGGTGATTGTGCTGCCAAGCAATCAATCCCTGCATGAAGATCTGATCCTGGAGGAGCTGGAAGTGTTTAAGGTCTGCTCTCTGTATTCCTCCCTTTTCCCTTTCTTCATCTTACACTTTAATCCTTTTTTTCCCCCCAAAATCAAAGGCAGCTAGGAGGAGGGTGAGCTTGGCCACGGCACAAAGGCCAAAGGCAGACAGACAAAAGCAGGGTGGCACTAGAAAAGATTGATATGGCGCAGCACAAAGTGATGGGAAACATGCTAAAATACCACAGGAGTCTGCTTGTTGGCCCGCGTGAACCTGTGCACATGTTGCTTTATTCTTTGTTGAAAAAAGTGTACTCCCTTGAAAAGGCCCTAATTTCTTTAATCTTCTACCTCCACCTGGACTATTTTATGTTGCTTCCATGGTATGAAGAATAGGTGGTTGTTGTTTTGTTCTATCCATACAGCTCCCATAAAATTACTTATAGGATTACATTTCTGTTTCTGAACTTGTTTTTCCTCATTATGTTCTTATCTTTTTTTTTATCAGAACCAAGCTCCAATCACAAACCTAAGAATATCCTCCAAAAAAGTAAGTGTTCTGAATATTGCCCCGCAGACATTTGTTATATTGTTTAAGTTATTCATTGTACATGGAAATTATGCAGTACATGAAACATAAATCCCCCTGTGCGCAATAAGCCGCCCCGGAGGCGGGGAAATAATAAGCCGTAATTGTCTCGGCGCTCAGCCTCATTTTCCTGTCAACCGTCCACTTATTAAGACAAACAGGGGGCTGACATTTGAACTGTTTGCTTTGCAGCAACAGCTGTACGTCAGCTCGGAGTTCGGGGTCTCCCAGGTCTCCCTGCACCGTTGCCATGCCTACGGCTCGGCCTGCGCTGACTGCTGCCTCGCCAGAGACCCCTACTGCGCCTGGGACGGCCTGAGCTGCTCCCGCTTCTACCCCACCGGGAAAAGGTGCGCAATGATGTCCAGATTTCGTTCTTTTTTCTTCTTTTTTTCCGCAAATGTGTTAATATTTGTCTTAACCCAACATCAACATGTGGATTTCTACGGTGCACCTCTATATCCACTTATATCAGTGTGAATTTAGGATATCATGATTTTTTTCCTAAAGACAACCAGCATGGTCTGTTTGGTTAAAGCAAATACTACAATGCTCAGTGTGCCAAAGTGGGGACGGCAGCTGATGTATAATCTGCTAAGGGCAAGAGGATCGCATGGCTGGAATCCATCAGCGTACACTTGAGTGTATGCCGCGCTGCAAATTTAGCCGTTGTTGTTTCCCGTCCATATGCCCGGACAAAACGCAGACAGGGAGGGGTGAGCACCACCTCGCCTCTGAACCGACACCTCTGTGCTTTCTGTCAGGGCCAGCTGCGGGCCTCTCGACAATTCACCCGATCACAGGTCACGTTCAGCTCGGTCCCGGAACAAAAGTCCAAGCCTCTGGGTTTTTTTTTTTATAAGCAGGAAATGTGTCTGAAATGTGTCAGCTGTTTACATGTTCTTTCCCTCAAGCTGTTGGGTATGAGTGTGCTCCAGCGAGTTCAATAACATGGTCAGATTTTTCCTCACATTTTTCTGGCAGTCAGACGTCCGTGCACAGTTTTCATTATGAGATGGAGGATGTTATGACTGGATTCCTTTTGGTAAATCTGAGGTGTGCTCTGTTGTTTCTTTTGTTTTTTTTTGCAGGAGAAGCAGGAGGCAGGATATTATGCATGGAAATCCACTGACTCAGTGCCGGGGATTCAATTTAAAGGGTAATTAAATTGGCAGTTCTTTCAAATGGATGTGGTAAATGTGTCTAATCTTAAATATGGCTACTATATCTCAAATTTAAATTTATAAGGGGACGATTAGCAAAATGTGTGTTTCCTTCATCCACCAAGATCCCAGATGGCCATTTAAATAACCCAATGAAGCTATTGGTAATTAAATGAGACACGTCTGGGTAAAAGTGACACCAATCATGTCACTACGGAGACATTATGCACCAAATTTACATTTGACCTCAAATTGATTGATTGCTCTCCACATCCGAGGTTAGTTGGCACAGTTAGACCACCATAGAATATGTATTTCTGTTGGAGTTCTGCACTATTTGGGCTTGGTTATGAGACCAGGTGGGGTACAAATTCCTCATATAAATACATCCAATCCATTAGCCAGGGAGCAGTTTAATGAAAAGAGAGAAGTCGCTTCCTGGAATCATCCATTCCCGCGAACAGGTTTCATCTCTAAATTAACATGAGCTTGGGGAACCAGCCATATGGCCATCACCACTAATTAATCACAACCCTGTCATACATCTGGCTGAGTGATAAACTGTTTTCTTGGTGAAAAAAATGACATCATGGGAAAGAGAGAGTTAATTTGACGCATGAAGGCCATACTGCTTCAAACTGAATTCTGGGTGGGCTTTAGTCGTGCTGCCACCGCCAGCCTGAGCTTTTTTGTCCACAATTCGCTGTCACTGCATGGGCTTGAGACAGATTTGAGACCATCTGTGGGTTTTGTGTCTGTCAGCGAGTGACGTCTGACGGGCCTGTTTTGGTGTGTGTGTGTGTGTGTGTGTGTGTGTGTGTGTGTGTGTGCGTCAGCTTACAGGAACGCGGCGGAGATGCTGCAGTACGGCGTAAAAAACAACACCACCTTCCTGGAGTGTATTCCAAAGTCCCCCCAGGCATCTATACGCTGGCTCATTCAGAGGGACAATGACAGGAGGAAAGAGGTCAGTCTGACATTTT